TGATCTCATAGAAATGAATGTGAAAAATTCTCCCCAAGGACATGTCTGTCAACCATTATACAGTATAATAACACATTCTACCAGGAAGATTCGGAAACTATTTGTAATAGGCCAGCTAGCTACCTCAAACTCCTTATTGCAACACTGTGACAAGGTCAAGGTGTTTAGAAGACAGTAACAGAGACTGTATCGGTACCCAAACAGACTGCCACCCTCCTAGAAATAGATGACATAGAATTGAAAAAGATTCCACAGAATTTGTATTTATTTATCCCTTATTTTTCCAGGTAAATTGACTGCGAACATATTCTCATTTACAGCAACGCCCTGGGGAATAGTTACAGGCGAGAAATGATCCAGTTGGAAGCTGGGGATGATTAGGTGGCCATGATGGTATGAGGGCCAGATTGGGAATTTAGCCAGGACACCGGGGTCTTTAGTGACTACAGAGTCATGACACCCGTTTGACGTCCCATCTGAAAGATGGCACCCTGCACAGGGCAACGTCCCCAATGACTGCCCTGGGGCATTATTTAATTTTTTAGACCACAGGAAACAGTGCCTCCTACTGGCCCTCCAACACCACTTCCTGCAGCATCTGGTCTCCCATCCAGTGACAACACTGCTTAGCTTCAGAGGCAAGCCAACAGTGGGTATGCTACTGGCATAGAACTGAAATACATTCCATAGAACTGAAATACATTCCATAGAACTGAAATAGATTCCATAGAATTACTCCCCTCAAACACAGCTTTGCATATACGTGATGTACTGAAGAAGCGTGGAACTGACCCATTTTCCTGAAAATCAGCTTTAGAATAGCGTCAGTTGAATCAGAAGCATTTCCTCTCCTCTGCCAGTGGTTTGTTTTTTTGTCAGGAAGATTGGATTCCTGCTCTCCAGACGTGATTATTTCTCCCTTTCCTGTGATGATTCAGACTGAGAGCGTGGGAGAGAAACTCTGTTTCTGTATCTTTCTCTCTACTCCCCCTCTCTCTCGCTCTCTCTTTGCCTCAGGTAGACTCCTAATCCGGTGATGGATGGTCCGTCACTGGCACCCTGCGTTGACTACAGTTTTTTACAATCACTTTGGCACTAATTTCAGAACCTTGACGTCATTTTTCAAAACTCTAGACACAAAACTCAAAACGGTCATCACTTGTAACACAGGCTGTCCAATGTTCAAAACATTGCATTGTGCATACATATCTTTAAAGAAATCTTACACTTGCACAATCATTGATTCAAAATACAAATGTATTGTGAAATACCAATGAAACGTTAATTTAGATCACCCACACACAAGCAACCGATAGTTTCACTGTGTCATTGTTCGTACAATCATTAAATATTGTAGTACAAAATAGGTGATACATGTTTCATTATGGTACTACATGTAAATACATCCCTGTAAAAGTACTGCAGTAGTAGAGAGAATACTACAGACACAGTGGAATCATTGAACAAAATCTGAAATATATTGATGAAAAACAATACAGTACTGTAAAACATCAACTTGCTTGCTTGTACTGTAAAAAGCAAAACATAGGAGTGATTACTGTACTTCTACATTTTCATCAACTCTGTCTTGTGGTTTTGGCCACAGGTTCTCATCTACATCACAATGGATGTTTTCATTAGCCAAACATCTTGGAAAAAACCTTTGGCCATGGCGAATCCAGGCCTGACACTGGTCTGCCGTGATGTCATTGCATGCGTCATCCATGGCCTGGAGAAGAGTGACTTGTTCATGAGGGCGCCTATCATAAACCTTCCATCTCCATGTGGAGAAAAATTCCTCAAATCGGGTTAAGGAAAGGAGAGTATGGGGGTAAATACAGGGTGGTAAATTGTGCATGGGCCTGAAACCATGCTTGCACCATATGAGCATGGTGGAAGCTGACATTATCCCACACAATGACATAGGTCACGCCATCGGCTCTACAGACCTGATCGAGCTCATCAAGGAAGGTTACAAGGAGAGCTGCATTATATGATCCAATACGAGGTCTGCGTCCCACCACACCATCTTCTGATATAGCCACACACATGGTAATGTTGGCCCCACGTTGTCCAGGTACTTGGATGGTTGCCCGCTGGCCAATGAAATTCCGACCTCTCCTCCTTGTCTTGGCCAGGTTAAAGCCTGCCTCATCCAAATATATGAATTTGTGATGGTTGTCGTCAGCATCCAGCTCCATCACCCTCTAAAAATACATTTTGGAAAGAGATTTACTGATTACTGTACAATGTAGAATTATTAGGGAATTTTTATTACAACAGCCATCTTGAAACAGAACATACCTGAACATACTCAGTCCTCATTTGCTTCACTCTGTCTGCATTTCTTTTAAAAGGCACACGGTATAGTTGTTTTAAAGACACCTGGTGCCTTTTCAGCATGCTTGCAATAGTCGGCAAACTTACGGATTCCACATTGTTAAACATGTCTTCATTGTCCAAGATATGCTGGCGAATTTCTGTAAGGCGAATATCATTTCTGGCCCGAACCAAATTGACCACAGCCTGCTCTTGTTGGTCAGTCAGAATTTTGCCTCTGCCTCCCCTCTTTGGCCTAGTCTCAATTCTACAGGGAACATTACAGTAAGAAGAAACTTGGTCACATCACCTACTCTGTGATACACATTGGTATGCAGTCATTTGACAATTGAGAGTAGCATAATGTTTAGTGCATGCTGACGACTTACCGGTTCTCATTGCGGAAAGTTCTGATTATTGAGGCCACGGTTGACCTTCTGAGGTTTGGTTGTATCATTGTAGCCGCCTCAGTCATTGTCATGCCATGATTTATGACATGGTCTACAAGTATTGCTCGGATTTCATTGGACACTGTTTGCTGTTGCTGCCGCTGTCTTGGTCCGTGGCCTTGTCCTCTACCACGTTCCCCCACACCTCTCAAACGAGGCCCACGACCACCTCTCAGAAGGGGTGCTTGTCCCCTGCCATTCCTTTGACCAACACGTCTTCCTCGTCTTCCTCCCACCACTGCTTGACCTCTATTTTGACCTGGATCACCTGCCGGCTCCATGTTACAGTACGTATTGCTATGTTGTTGCAAGTGGATCCCAATCAATTCTTTATATACTCGTTCCACAATGTGAACTCAATCAGTAACGAGTTGGCAGAATTGGACAAGCAATTACAAGGGCCTGCATCCATACAGTGCAGTACTGTCAATACTGTACATCATCTGAAAAGGTGGTACATGGGACCATAGAAACAGTGTCTGATAAAGAATGATGATGAAATATTACATCCATAGATAATGTAGTCTAATTGGTTCATGCTCCACGCTAATTGGTGACAATGAATCTTGTTATCTTGAAACTTTTATGATCTAAACATGGAATATTGTTTGTCTGTTTCCATACAACTATGCATTAAGAGTAATGCAACAGTTACTTATCATTTTGAGCAGTTGTATCAATTGATAGTTGGATAATTGTAATGAAATGAATAGACATCTGAAATGTAATGTGTGAATTGCCTTTTGAAATAGTAGTACTTTGATGTTAAGTTGTGTCATATTGAACAGGTGATTTTTGTTAAATGAACAAATGATCTTAGTTTTATGTGTATTGTATCCAAGCAATTGAAAAAAGTGTTACGAGTTTTGAAAAATGTGCATTTTGATCATTGGTTGTGAGTTTTGTGTCTAGAGTTTTGAAAAATGACGTCAAGGTTCTGAAATGAGTGCCAAAGTGATTGTAAAAAACTGTAATTGCTATCTAACCCTAACGGCTTGTGAAACCCCCACACAGAGGTGTGAAATTCCTCAACTTGAGGAGCCTCAAACATCAGAACAATGGCCTGACAACACCTGAGAGATTTTTTAGCAAGACGGCATCTGCCAAAAGTGTGTTGAATAGACAAGGGTGAAAATAAAAACAATATGCAGGTTTTCTTTTAAATGTGTTGTTTATTTTAAAGTGCAGATATCCAAATGCTGAAATTTAAGTTGAACATGCATGGCTAAATATATTACCAAAATTACAGATTTACATTTTAAAAAAGGGGTTTAAGGATATTTTTGAGTCCCATCAGCTATTGGTGATTTCGTGCTGACTGGCCCTAGCTGTTAATCCGTTCCAAATCTTCTCCTTCTCCACCAAAATATTTTCTTGACACCCCATAGTCAAACAACAGTTCTTCCTGAACCGGAATGTCTCGTTGGGCAATGAAAAGGATGACGTTCCACACTTTGCCGTCCTCTTCAAGTTGCTGAAGCTGACCTTTTATGTTGCTTCTCTTTCTGGAGTGGTTGATCCTCCGTCCAATTGTGTCCTTCTCTGGATGGCAAGGGCAGGGCACAGTCTTGGCATCTATGCAGCACGTTTTCCCTGATACATCCTTGTAGAAATATAGGTACCCCACCGCGTCTTCATCTGTTGCTGCCAAAAGTTCTTTCCCCTGCTTCCCTGAGAGCGGGAGACCGTGGTAGTCACAGACGACTTCCCCTTTGGCAAATTTCCGTGTTGTCGTGACCTTTCTTCCTTTGACAGGGTCACTGGAAATGGACAGTCCTTTCCACTTCTGGGACTTCACCAGTTTCACAATTGCGTTGTTTTCATTTTTTGTGTCAATGTCACTTGAAGGTTGCCAGTAACGAAGGACATCCTCCACCTTCACTTTGTTCTTCTCCCAGTTCTGCCGTTTAATGTATTTCTCTGCTTTTCTGGCAGTGGGTTCTCTTCTGGGGAAGTGAGCTGTAACAATGCAAAGACAAAAATACATGTGTTATTATTTATGTCATTTACTCAATAGCAGAAGCCCTTATCCAGGACTACTTACAGTCGTAGTTATGTGACTAAATCAAGTACATTCTCGTAATACCTAATATGTTAAAAATTGTATTCAGTCTATTGTGTTTTAGCTGCATCTTTACCGATCACATAATCCCGTCTCATTTTCTCTTGCTGGTTTCTCCACTTGTCATAACAGTGTCTCTCATGCCTTCCTGCAATCAGTAGTCTGTCCTTCTTCTTGATTGATTGTCCATCAATTGTGACAGGGAAGCTTTGATAGAAGAGGTTCAAGGCCTGTGCCTCATCCAACGTTTGGCTGCTGGACAATGCTCCTCTTCCACAACTTGTGCTTGCGGAGGAGGGGCCTGCAGTCTCATTACTTGAAAAAGGGGAAAATAACAAAAAAACGTGTTAGCCATATGTAACAACTTTACAAGACATTGTAAAGGGTCATTTATATAATGAGTATAAATACTTACTCAGATTCACTGGACATGGCAACTTTGGAGATCAGCTTCATTCCCATGCAGGCATTGAGTGGTGTCTTGATGCGGTAGTGCCTGTAAGCTGTGGCAGTTGTATGGTCCAAGTAGTCAGCAACAAGTGCCTTCTCTGCATCCGTGAAGTTGGCTTTGGTATGTGTCTCAAAAATGTGCCTTGCTACCTGGCTGGTGATGTTGGGGAGTTTGTATCTGATGAAAGAACAAGAAAAAACAGTTTTGGTTTTAGAAAACTGTACTGTCATAAAAGTATTGTGTAATGATAAAAAAAAACAGCGTTGTTCTTAACAGTGTTCAACTTACTTGGCCTGAAACCTTTGTAGGTCATTGGACGGGTTGTAGATGGCTCTTCCAGCTGTGGAAATGAAGAATCTCTCATCTTCTTCCACGTCATCACAGTTTTGAAGAAAAGCTGGTCGAACGTGTCGGTAGTACGTATCCAACCACTGAAAATGTAGACAAAAAAAAAACATATTTACCAGGTTTGTATTAAATCAATCTCATTCACAATAACCAGATTGTGGTAAATATACTTACTGCATCTTCCTCCTCGTCTAACGAAACGGTTGCCACCTGCTGTGTCCCTGTCTTTTGTTGCTTAACACAGATGACTGTCCATTTCTCACCATTTGGCAAGATGCACTCCTTCCTTGAGAGCCATTCGTTCAGCTACAATAGGAAATGTGACATATCAATAAAACATATGCCAAAAAAAAGCAAAATACGATTCAACATTATAGCAATTAGATGACATTAGTTAACTTACGGTCATATTTTTTACAACTCCAGCCCTTTGGAGATGTTTCAGCATGAGCAGAGACACCAGGTAGGACAGCATGAGCAGTTGTTCAGGTTCGTCCAAAGATTCTTCACTCGTGGCCTTCCCAATGACACCCAGAAAGTCTTTCTTGGCCACCTCCAAGACTGCCACACATTCTTTTAGTGTCTTTGCAACCGTCACCATCTGTGTGTACCTGCAGAAAAACAATAATACATTCATGATTTTGAAGAACGACAATAACGCACACTTAAAAATGTTAACTACGTTTCCGTGAGGATCCATTTTTAAATATATATATACCTTTTCCCGGTAATTTCCTGAGACACCTGCTTGCTCATGGACTTCTGTAAGTCATTCAGGCAGTCTTGGAAATGCTTGCATTGCTCATACAAGCTCCTTTTTGTCTGGATGAGGTTTGTTGACGTCGTGATGTAGCGAAGAAACCTCTTCAGATTCTTCATGTAGTTTGCAATTGTTTGCTTCTTCTGTCCAATGTTTGCAAGCTTGGTAAAAAAGGACCTGCTTTTCTCCAATTGATTGACAAAATCCAGGGAAGGTTTGATGGAGTCCATGTAAAACAAAAACCTAGACACATTTGCAACCTGTACATGAAAATTAAAAATAATGTTAGTTGCATAGTTAATAACTACTTTGTAATTAAGTAATTCTCATTAAAAATATTTCAACAGTTAAATTAAAGTAAAATTGCTGTACATAACCTCCTGTTTGAAATTGGGAATGTTGTGGTCGTCGCGGAGATATTTGGCAAATCCAGCCAGCAGATCACAATCCAGAGGGTGCTTTTGGTACAAACCACTCATTTGCATTGCCTTTCTCAGTTTGTTGTCCCATGACTGGTTCATTGGTCTGGAAAACATTTGGTATGCAGATTAGAATCAATAAAATACATCCCATGTTCACTTATATACTTATGTGTAGTAGTTGTTTATGAGATTATTTATATTTTGTATTTACTTACGGTTGGTACAAGGCAGACTGGTCATCCTCCGTGTTGTTGTCTGATTCAGCATCTGTATCTGCATCTTCATCTGGTGCCAACACACAAGCCACTTCCACTTGGCTGAAATATCACACAGATAAAACAAAAACAATTATATTATATTACAATCAAACATAATTGGACGACAGTTAAAATGAGTTGAAATATGATGTAACTTGCATGTATATTATTTTATCAGTGTAAGAAATAGCTTACACGGGTGCTTGTTTGACTTCTGGCTTGTTTTTAACAATATGATCTGTTTCTTCAAGCTTCTGGATCAGGAGTCGGAGTGCGTCTTGTTGTATGACGATACAGCTCAGTAAACTGTAGTCAAAGATCCTGCCTTTGCCAAGATGCTCTATCATGGAATCTCGGGCAGCGGCGACTTCTTGAACAATCTCTTGTTTTGTTTTTAACTTCATGCACACTCTGCTGAGGTGTAGAGGGAGGGTGTCCTGGTTCTTCAAGCAAAATCTGCAGACAAGAGGGATCCTTCTTTGTTTTCTGTAAGACAGTAAATGCACAGTAAGTACATGTAATGAAGTTACTAGCAGTATGTCAATACTTACACACCTATTATTACTAGTGCTAGCAGAGCTACTACTAACATTAATAACAGCAACGTTACTGTGGTTTAATTGTGTTTCTGGCCTCAAAGCTTCTAATGCTCTCACCCAAAAGCACCTCAAATTTAGGTCATGCTTCATTTTGGGCCTACTACTAACATTAATAACAGCAACATACTAACAGTAATATACATTGAATAATTGAAGAGATAAATTACCTTGAACCAGTTGCATTTGCAGATGCCATCTTGCTGAAAAATAAAGGAAGTAATAACACAATCGCAAAGAAATCTCTGCAGAATAAGGAAAAAAGCAATAATCCAAAATATCAGCTCCCAGAAGGAAAGAGTGTTGTCGTTGCTCTCAGTTGAATTCTCTTTTCTGAAGTGGAGTATATACTGTTGCCTTGGTCAGTATATATACAATCAGATTGGCCCAACCCAATTCCACAATAAAATATTCCATTCAGGGTAGATTTACGCATACGCAAATGAGATGACTCGTACAGCTTCACGCCTCACAATACCTCTGCAGCTCAGATTTCAACCCTGGCATTGCAAACACAGTGCTTTACATTTAGCAGACACTCTTATAATAATAATAATAATAATATGCCATTTAGCAGACGCTTTTATCCAAAGCGACTTACAGTCATGCGTGCATAAATGTTTGTGTGTGGGTGGTCCCGGGGATCGAACCCACTACCTTGGCGTTACAAGCGCCGTGCGCTACCAGCTGAGCTACAGAGGACCACACTCTTATCCAGAGTGACATACAGTTAGTGGATACATATATTTTTTTGTGTTATTATTTTTTTTCATACCTGCCCCCAGTGGGAATCGAACCCACAACCCTGGCATTGCAAACACCATGCTCTACCAACTGAGCTACATTCCTGCCACATTTCAGACTACTGCACATAATACTTCCTATCTAAACCTTTAAAGTCTTACCAAAATTACAGATTTACATTTTAAAAAGGGGTTTAAGGATATTCCATTCAGGGTAGATTAACACATACGCAAATGAGTTGACTCATACAGCTTCACACCTCGCAAATACCTCTGCAGCTCAGATGGTAGAGCAAGCCACTTCAATCCCTGGGACCACCCATACACAAAAAATGTATGCACGCGTGACTGTAAGTCACTTTGGATAAAAGCGTCTGCTAAATTGTATATTTCTAGCCTCGACAGTTCAATTGCTTTTTGGGCCTTATCCTGAGACCTTTCTTGATGTCTATATATTTTAGCCCAAAAATCTTCAGCGCCTGCTGATCTCCACATATGTTGCTCTTTATATGCCCCACAACCATAATCTGGAAATATATTAATTTCAAACTTCTGGACATAAAACTTACTGTCTAACAGGGGTTGTGGGAATCGAACCGTGACCGGGAGACCCATGGGGCGGCGCGCAATTGGCCCAGCGTCGTCCAGGGTAGGGGAGGGAATGGCCGGCAGGGATGTAGCTCAGTTGATAGAGCATGGTGTTTGCAACGACAGGGTTGTGGGTTCGATTCCCACAGGGGGTATGAAAAAATAATAATAATGTAAGTCGCTCTGGATAAGAGCGTCTGCTAAGTAAAATGTAAATGTAAATGTAAAAAACCCTGGCATTGCAAACACCATGCTCTACAAACTGAGCTACATCCCTGCCACATTTCAGACTACTGCACATAATACTTCCTATCTAAACCTAACTGCTTGTGAAACCCCCACACAGAGGTGTGAAATTCCTCTGCTTGAGGAGCCTCAAACATCAGAACAATGGCCTCACAACACCTGAGACATTTTTTAGCAAGATGGCATCTGCCAAAAGTGTGTTGAATAGACAAGGGTGAAAATAAAAACAATATGCAGGTTTTCTTTTAAATGTGTTGTTTATTTTAAAGTGCAGATACCCAAAACTGACTTTTTACACAGCATTTCAACATTTTTCAATTTAAAATGGAAAGAAAGCTGTAATCTTTTCCCAAATGGTCTCAAACTATAGGCCTGATCACCCTGGACCAATGCCTGGTGGTAATTTCAGTGGAACCGTCCAACTCAAGTAGCTATTCAACCTCAAAACTACCTTGTTTTGCTGTACATTCATAACAGCAGTATAATGTGAAACTGCCTGGGGGCGTTTAACAATGACAGAAAGTCTAATCTTTTCCCAAATGGTCTCAAATGAGCTGAACTCAGGCCCATGGGAGATGTCTTTTACTAGGCAGGGAGTTTAGAACAAGATGCATTGAGCTCCAGAGGTCACAAGGTAAATGTGGGCCTGCATGGATGTCAGCAGGGCATGAGGAAGAAGGCCCAAGTGAATAGGTGTGTCTGTGTGTGTGTGTGTGAGTGAACCTGTCCGACATGGGGGCAGAACAGGCAGCCCCTGTGGAGGCAGACCACTCTCTTCCCCCTTTCTCCTAGCCTGCTGCACCTCTGGATGACCAGGGAGTGAGCTGTACTCTCAGGCCCATGGGAGAGAGTGTTTTAATGGGCAGAGAGTGTTTAAATAGAGGCATGGAGCTCCAGGGAGTGAGCTGTACTCTCAGGCCCATGGGAGATGTCCTTTACTAGGCAGGGAGTATAGAACAAGATGCATGGAGCTCCAGAGGTCACAAGGTCAATGTGGGCCTGCATGGATGTCAGCAGGGCATGAGGGAGAAGGCCCAAGTGAATAGGTGTGTCTGTGTGTGTCTATGTGGGTGAGAGTGAACCTGTCCTACATGAGGGTAGAGAGGCAGCCCCTGTGGAGGCAGACCACTCTCTCCCCCCTTTCTCCTAGCCTGCTGCACCTCTGGAGGTCCAGGGAGTGAGCTGTACTCTCAGGCCCATGGGAGAGAGGGTCTTAATAGGCAGGGAGTGTAGAACAAGATCCATGGAGCTCCAGAGGTCACAAGGTCAATGTGGGCCTGCATGGATGTCAGCAGGGCATGAGGAAGAAGGCCCAAGTGAATAGGTGTGTCTGTGTGTGTGTGTGTGAGTGAACCTGTCCGACATGGGGGCAGAACAGGCAGCCCCTGTGGAGGCTGGCCACTCTCTCCCCCCTTTCTTCTGGCCTGCTGGATCTCTTGTGTGTGGAGGGCTGGACTCTGTCTCCCCCAACCCGGCCATGGACCCCCAGCCCGCCCATGTGTGAGTCAGGAGCCATCCCCATGTTCCCCTAGTAAAAACCGTCCAATTACCAGGTGCACGGATGGGGGAGGGGGGGGGTGTGTGGCCCCTCCTTGGGGTCTCCCCCAACCCGGCCATGGACCCCCAGCCCGCCCATGTGTGAGTCAGGAGCCATCGGGACCACCCATACACAAAAATGTATGCACGCACGACTGTAAGTCGCTTTGGATAAAAGCGTGTGCTAAATGGCATATTATTATTATTATTATTATTATTATTATTATTATTATCCCCATGTTCCCATAGTGAAAACCATCCAATTATCAGGTGCACGGATGGGGGGGGGGGTGGGCCAACCCGGCCATGGCATCTGCCATAGAAAATATCCTTAAACCCCTTTTTTTAAATGTAAATCTGTAATTTTGGTAATATATTTAGCCATGCATGTTCAACTTACATTTCAGTTTTGGGTATCTGCACTTTAAAATAAACAACACATTTAAAAGAAAACCTGCATATTGTTTTTATTTTCACCCTTGTCTATTCAACACACTTTTGGCAGATACCATCTTGCTAAAAAAATGTCTCAGGTGTTGTCAGGCCATTGTTCTGATGTTTGAGGCTCCTCAAGTTGAAGAATTTCACACCTCTGTGTGGGGGTTTCACGAGCAGTTAGGTTTAGATAGGAAGTATTATGTGCAGTAGTCTGAAATGTGGCAGGAATGTACCTCAGTTGGTAGAGCATGGTGTTTGCAATGCCAGGGTTGTGCCAGGGTTGTGGGTTCGATTCCCAAACCTGCCATCTGAGCCTGTTCTAGCCACACGCCGGGAGCCTCTTAGACATCCTAACACAGGGAGAAAGATTAAGGACTGGGTGATTGACATAGGTAAACCTGTTGTGGTGATAGGATATTCAAATCTGTCAAGCATCCCTGCCTTTTGTGATGCAGGTGGATAGCTTTCCAGGGGCCACCTTCTATCATCTGAAAGGCGTTTTGGAGAAGCTAGAACCAAACCCTGCCATAGAGAAGGTGATTCTGTCTGCAGGCTTAAACAACTGCCTCTTGAGACAGACATCTAGCACCACCTGGAAACAGCTGCAGCAGTTGCTGAAAGTTGTGAGAACAGGTTTCCCAGTGCAATATGTCCCACTCATACATTTTTCAGATAGGCTGGAAAGAGATCAGCAGTCTCTCATAAATAGACTGAACCAAACCATTTTGGAGAGATGCAATTACTTAACTGACATGAATAGACTCCGGTTCCGCACACAGCCCCGTGATCCAGTCCACTGGACGGCTGAGACAGCTGTTGAGATCCTTCAATTCTGGCTGGATCAATTAAACATGTAAGGGGAGAACAATGTCAGGATACAGCTCCCCATTGGAATATTACCAACCTCTCTCTATCCTATAGACTTACAGAGACAGGGAGGGAAGTTTTAGGAGAGATGTATTGACTGTGGGAATGTACCAATAAATGGATTTGAAAATTGTGTGGTTTTCTTCTATTTTACAAAGAAAATATTTTTGGATCCACGATGTTATACTGGCATTGGCTGTATTTCATATTGCAAACGGACAAGTACATTTGCAATACATTTCAGTGGGCATTTATTATCACCAATTGGACATGCTGAAATCAACACCGATGAGCAAGGGAGAGGATCCACTATCATTCCTTGGCCAGCCCGAGTTCAATCATCTTGAAAATGTGGCATTTAAGCTTTGTAAGAGCATGTCCAATTGGTGGTTATAAATGCCCATTGTAAGATATCGGAGACGGGCCACACGCCGGGAGCCTCTTAGACATCCTACAGTTTTTTCCAATCACTTTGGCACTCATTTCAGAACATTGACGTCATTTTTCAAAACTCTAGACACACAACTCACAACCAATGATCAAAATGCACATTTTTCAAAACTCTTAACACTTTTTTCAATTGCTTGGATACAATACACATAAAACTAAGATCATTTGCTTCATTTAACAAAAGTCACCTGTTCAATATGACACAACTTAACATCAAAGTACTACTATTTCAAAAGGCAATTACATTTCAGATGAGTGTCTATTCATTTCATTACAATTATCCAACTATCAATTGATCCAACTGCTCAAAATGATAAGTAACTGTTGCATTACTCTTAATGCATAGTTGTATGGAAACAGACAAACAATATTCCATGTTTAGATCATGAAAGTTTCAAAATAACGAGATTCATTCATTCATTGTGTGTGTGTGGTGTGTGTGTGTGACTATTGTCACCCACATGTGTCTCATATAGGCAGATCCCACTATTCAAGTCATTACACCATTCAACTGGACTGTGGAAATAGAGGGCTGCATTACCATGGGACGGCCCGCCGGACCTGCCGGTCCCGACAGAGATCATCGTGGCACGGCCGGCATGTTTCATGCAGCGGGAGGGAGCGGCCAGTCAGGCAGACTACTTTGGGATGAAAATATTTGTGTTGTCCCGCAGATTATTTGGAAAGGTCATCTTTCTGCTCGGTATGCCTTAGCGAACCTGTTGTATTAAAATCACATCTTTGTCGCATTATTCATGTAACCGGTGTGAAATGGCTAGCTAGTTAGCGGTGCGCACTAGTAGCGTTTCAATCGGTGACGCCACTCGCTCTGAGACCTTGAAGTAGATGTTTCCCCATTGCTCTGCAAGGGCCGCGGCTTTTCGTGGAGCGACGGGTAACGGTGCTTCGAGGGTGACTGTTGTCGATGTGTGCAGAGGGTCCCTGGTTCAAGCCCAGGTAGGGGCGAGGAGAGGGACGGAAGCAACATGGTTACATTGACACACTCAGAATTCGCTGTTTCAACTTCAGTAGCCTCTCCTCTCCTAGTTGGGCGTGGGGTCTCATTGAAATAGAGTAGGCTGGCAACATGGGCGGAGAATCACGTGGCAGTTAACTTAAATATGAAAATCACATCTTTGTCGCATTATTCATGTTACCGGTGTGAAATGGCTAGTTAACTTCAATATGAAGTTAACTTAAATATGATTAGACTGTAGTTTACTACAGTGTCTGTAAATCAATATTGATAATGGAAAGAAGCAGAGGGCGCTCAGCCAACGTGAGTCGAGGTGCGATCGAAAATATATACCATAATTGAAAAGGCACATAGGTTTGGCTACTATGGTTAACTAGCTTTGTGCCTTTTCAATAAGAACTGATTACCCAGTCATTTGTCTCTGCCTGCAAATCGTCCTCCTAAAAGGTAGTCTATACCCTATATGCAAAACGTCATTATTCCAGCTGCTTCCAGTTCAGTAGCCGTACCTGCGAGATCAGGTGCGAGTGTGGTCTCAATTAAATAGAGTAGGCGATAGCCTATTGTACGGTGGCCGGGAAGTGCAAAGCAACAGGCCACCGTACTATTGACCCCTTTCTGTGTTTGCAAACATTATCGCACGAGGAAGATGCGCATAAATTGGTGGCAGAACACCAGGGAGTTCTTATAGAACGGTGGCAGAACACCAGGGAGTTCTTATAGAACGGTGGCAGAACACCAGGGAGTTCTTATAGAACGGTGGCAGAACACCAGGGAGTTCTTATAGAACGGTGGCAGAACACCAGGGAGTTCTTATAGAACGGTGGCAGAACACCAGGGAGTTCTTATAGAACGGTGGCAGAACACCAGGGAGTTCTTATAGAACGGTGGCAGAACACCAGGGAGTTCTTATAGAACGGTGGCAGAACACCAGGGAGTTCTTATAGAACGGTGGCAGAACACCAGGGAGTTCTTATAGAACGGTGGCAGAACACCAGGGAGTTCTTATAGAACGGTGGCAGAACACCAGTGAGTTCTAATAGAACACCAGCAAAAAAAACTCCTCTATTTACGTGTTGCTTATGAGTGCATTTCACACTACTTTTGGATTATAATTGGATTTTAAGGCTCGTATGAAAGTCCTGCTTAATATAATGTGTGTGTCACCATCGCAAATCAACTGCATTATACTTTTTTTTTTACGTCAACTTCATCTAGTAAAATGGCTCTTTGGCTAGCTTTTGCTACAGCCTACAGTTTGTCAATGAGCGTTAGCATTCTAGCTAACAACTGCTGCATCCAAAATAGTTATTTTGCAAAGATCACAACCAAATATAATCTTAGCGACTGTTCAAGCAAGAATCAAAACATAATTGTAAGCCTATGAGAACCCCCCCCCCCCCCCCCAAAAAAAGTTAATTTGTTTAGAAGTATCTAAAATAACATTTTGGGTTTGGGACCAGTTCTTGACGTAGCAGATGGGAATCGGACAGAAAGCCAGCGGGCGTTGTGATGGTGGGAACGGGAGCGGGACGAAGAAATCAGTTCTGCGCAGACCTCCATATGGAAGCTCATTATAACTGATGGTTGCTGTTTTTGGTGCTGCGATGTGATGTGATGTGATTGTTCTTGTACATCTGGACTCATACAGTATGTCACCCTTTAGGACAGTGCAGTTGAAGAAATCACATCACACAGAAACATTCACTCCTTCACTGAATACAACACTGGGATGGTAGCCCTGCTGAAACAAAAAAGGCTTAGGCTGGTCACCAGCATTCACTGTGTTTTGGAAAACTGGTGACCAGCCTAAGCATTCTTTTCAGCAGGGTTAGCATCCCAGTTGTTTACCACAGCAAGGTTTTATGACCTGCCTTGTCTGTCTCTGTCTGGGCCAAGCTTTCCCAACGCTGTTCCTCATTGAACGTCAGTGACGTGGTCTCGTTTGGCTCGTGCACTTCTAAAAGCAGCCACTAGATGGCGTCATAAAACATTTGATGTCAAAAAGAAATCTCAGTGAAAAAGTGCCACTGACGTGCTACCATAGAGGTCAGAGGACTCCTCTGTGTATATATCCCATTGGGGCGTCTGGGGAGCACTTGGGTAGCGCCATGGGGTCATCTCCATTTTGAAGTAGTCCATTTTCTTCTTCTACTACTTCTATGAGTTGGTAAACAAACTGAAAGGGTGCATACTGCCCCCTGGAGTGTGTTGTTGGAACAGGTATAAAGCCAAGGTTGGCAATTTAATAAAATTAATTAATTAATAAATAATGATTCTTAATGGAATCATGTGATGCTTCCTTAACCCATAGGAAGTCCGACCAGTTGACTACTTCAATGGCAATGTCCATGCAAAAATGGGTTTTATCCATCTAGAGTCCTCTATAATTCTCTATGCGCGATACAGAAGACCAGTGGTTCATGTATTTCTAACAAAGATGGTGGATATATTAAGATAATTCACTCAGGCCTTTTCCCGTTGAAAAAAATAGTCAGTTCCGGTCTGCTTAACAGGAAGGGCTCTCCCATAGACACCAATGTGATAGCAGCTGGGTCTGGTCTGCTTAACAGGAAGGGCTCTCCCATAGACACCAATGTGATAGCAGCTGGGTCTGGTCTGCTTAACAGGAAGGGCTCTCCCATAGACACCAATGTGAGAGCAGCTGGGTCTGGTCTGCTTAGTTCACTGACTTCCATTGAACCCCCCAAAAAAAGGAGGGAGTGGGATGTCTGGCTTCCTCTTCCTCGTCTCTGCGTCCAATAACATTTTGCTCTGCCCGCAGTACCTCCTTATGTGTTAGTTCAGCCAATCATTTGACCTATGACCTTATGACAGCTTCTCTATTTAACAGGTAGAGCTCCACCACTAAGCGCCAGTCATTAATCTGTCTGTAACCCATGGAGACGGAAAGATGTCGCAACCTTACATCCATCCAATTATGGCCCCTGTGAGCGCATGGGCAGCGCGGCATTGAGGCTATCTCCATTTTGAAGTAGTCCATTTTCATCTTCACGATTGGCTGATCCCTCCTGATGACCCGGATGGACATGACTCCAACAGGGTCACCAGGAGGGATCAGCCAATGAAGTTGGAAGTCCCACCCAGTTGACTACTTTAAAATGGTGGAAGCCCTCAATGGCTCTGTCCATGCAAAAACAGGTTATTTCCCAGATATTACCTCTTTCCATCTCTATGCTGTTACCCCATAAAAGAGCAATCCAAACATGCAGGTAGGAAGACTGCCCTGACTGGGGTCCTGTGTGCCGTGTGCTGAGGTTTTGACTAAAAATGATATAGCTTTTGTCAGATTTGACATTTCATAGCATGTTCGGAGAACTTAGGCAGCAGGTTAGGAGAATTAACGTGTCAGGTTAGAATCATTAGGTCAAGGTCAGGAAAAGGGTTAGGGTTAGCTAAAATGTAAAAAAAAAAAAAAAAAAAACTTTTGATTTACATTTGACAAAATCTGTATATTTTTTTGCCATGACCATGTGCTGTTTGAAGGGTGCATGTGTGTTTATCCCAGTGGTTAATCCAAGGTTTGCCTTGCTTTAACTGCTATTTGCAATTCAACAACAACAACAACAACAACAACAGATAATGAAACAAACCAAATCAATGTAATGTCCGTGTTTATTCTTTCTACACGCTACATTCTATTCCGCTGTACTTTGTGAACATGAAGCTGGTGAGATATACATGTTACACACCACGGCTGCGTTTACACGGGGGCAGCCCAATTCGGATCTTTTGTAATTGGGGGATTGTCGTCTAACATGGCTTCTCAACACTTGGAAAAGTAGCTAGAGGCGACCGTCATGTCACACTCCTTCTGGAAGAGCAGCTTGATCCTACAAGATAATTAAAACCAATATGAATAATTCCATCAAGAAAGCGTTAAAATGTCCATATTCAGTTACAACCCTTAGAGGTGCTCGCATAAATTCACTAAAAGGACGTCCTAAAGTGACGTTCTCATAGAACTTTTCACACATTTAAACATTGAATGCCAACCAATTAACTCGCTTTGATATGATGGAAATAAAATGTCTTTACAAAATGTAAAATACACAATTTCTCATTTGCATACTTACATTCTCTTTAGAGCCTTTGTTTGTTGACCGGGTCCAATTTCCCTGTTTGAATGAAGAAAAAAAAAGACAATCTAAAAGTGAATAAGAATTCCTGCACTTACAAACAAGTATATTAACACATGAAGAAACCGGAGAGAACACATCCACCTCAAAACCAAACACTTACATTGTCCGTTTGATCGTCTCCACACAGGTTAAGTCATCACTTATGTTGTCGTCAATCAAAGCTTGAGAGAAACAAAAAGCCCAACAGAGATCCTTAACTGAACACTGTCATACAAGACATTTGAATCTAACATCCAACTACCCTATTAATAAACCTGTTGTGTATTTTCTCACAGACTTGAGCATCTTGACCACTTAGATACATAGATTTTGTCGTAGGCTCGAGCATCTTGACCACTTAGATACATAGGTTTTGTCATAGGCTTGAGCATTTTGAGCACATTGACACATTGAACTCACCACTGCAGTTCATCTGGCAAAGGTTCAGAGATGGAGTGGAGCCCGAGGAACAAATCACACGATCGCTCAGCTGGAACAAGCCGTAGAGGGTTCCCATGGTCTCTTCTTCGCTGGAGTCTTCTCCTGAGGTGAAGTGATTCCCAGCGTGTCTCTTACCCCTCTTAGGAGGCTGCTCAGGGCGTCTAGGAAGGGTAGGATGGGTAGGAGGGGTAGGGTGGTTAGGGTGGTTAGGGTGGGTAGGATGGGTAGGATGGTTGTCATTGTTAGCAGTGTGGTTAGGGTGGTTAGGGTGGACATCATCCCCGGCGTGTCTCTTCCCCCTCCTATGAGGGGGCTCGGGGCGATGGCGGTCATTAACTTTAGCAGGGCGGGTTGAGAGGACATCAGGGCCGTCGTCATCCCTCCAAGCAGTCACAAAACTGCTGTTGAACCCTGTGGCCTTCTCCACGTGGCAGACGACTGGAAGAGGCAACAAACATGTAGCGTTACTTTACAATCAGACTCCTAGGGCCGATTTCCCAGACACAGATTTAGCCTGGTCATAATAAAAAGCCATTTCAATTGAGAATCTCGATTTAAAGAGTTTCTCAGTCCGGGACTAGGCTTCATCTGTGTTCCGGGAAACCAGTCCACAGTATTTAACCATTCCTTCAGATTTTTTTTTTTTTAAAGCATTGGGTTATGTAATGTAACTTACTTTTAGCCACAAAATCCTTGTTTGTCAGGTTCTTCACTTTGGCTTTCGCAGTCAGGTTGAATTTGAGGGCCGCCTCCTCCAATAAGCTCTTCAGCTCACATTTGGAGAATATCCGTCCCTCGGACAGACTGGCTGCTACGGCCAACAACACCAACATCTGCATCTTCATGTTGCCTCTGTCTTGCTGGTCTTTCCTCGATTGTGACGAGAAGATGAATTGCACAGTAGATATACTCCTGGTGCCCTCGCCCCTTGGGAGTGACGTGACCGAGTCTCGTTCTTACCTTTTTTTTATTTTTATCGAAAGTAAGGCACTAAAGCTCTCAGAAACGTTTCCAAGGACTCCATCAATGTAACAAAGCTCCACCCGATGTTTTGTTGCACCACGCGATTCAGGCCCCTGGGGAAAACGATTTAAAAACTGCCACGTGATGATATAACAAAGGGGTTTAAACAATCAGCATTCAGGATTAGACCCACCCATTGTATAATGTTCAATAAGTTGACAAGAAGGTTGGGCTTTAGATCAAACTTTAGACACACAATAAGGTCAAACCCACTCTCACGGGTATCTCACGACCACATGACTGCAATCACAAGGACCTTTCAATCGGTGTGTGCCACACCTGATCACAACACCTATGCGTCCAAAAGTAATCTCGAAACCAGTCTTGAAATGGAGAGAAAACCGAAACCCGCACCAAGAGTTATAAATAGTCTCTTTTCATTTTCCTCATCTGACTGATCACATGACCTCTAGAGTAACGTGAGACCCATCAATGTGGTTTGTTTTTATGCATTGTTTCCATCTAAGGGATACCGTGTTTCCAGATGGATAACTTCTCTGGAATGGAACAATAAACATAACTACAAACATTCACATTTAATCACGAGGGGATACGAAAGCTACTGGAAATTAAAAGGGATTTGATCATTTGATGTATCTCTTATTTTGTCAAAGTAGGACACGTTACAGATAAAACCCCAGTGAACACTGAGTGGTGCAGTGGTCTAAGGCACTGCATCGCAGTGCTAACTGTGCCACTAGAGATCCTGGTTCGAATCCAGGCTCTGTCGTAGCCGGCCGCGACCGGGAGACTCATGGGCGGCGCACAATTGGCCCAGGGTAGGGGAGGGAATGGCCGGCAGGGATGTAGCTCAGTTGATAGAGCATGGCGTTTGCAACGCCAGGGTTGTGGGTTCGAGTCCCACGGGGGGCCAGTATAAAAAAAATAAAAAAAATAAAATGTTTTCACTAACTGTGAGTCGCTCTGGATAAGAGCGTCTGCTAAATGACTAAAATGTAAAAACGGAATCTGTTGGTTTCTACTCCCTCACTCCACTCTTGTGTTGGTTTCAACTCCCTCACTCTTGTGTTGGTTTCAATTCCCTCACTCTTGTGTTGGTTTCAACTCCCTCACTCTTGTGTTGGTTTCAACTCCCTCACTCTTGTGTTGGTTTCAACTCCCTCACTCTTGTGTTGGTTACAACTCCCTCACTCTTGTGTTGGTTACAACTCCCTCACTCTTGTGTTGGTTTCAACTCCCTCACTCTTGTGTTGGTTTCAACTCCCTCACTCTTGTGTTGGTTACAACTCCCTCACTCTTGTGTTGGTTTCAACTCCCTCACTCTTGTGTTGGTTTCAACTCCCTCACTCTTGTGTTGGTTTCAACTCCCTCACTCCACTCTTGTGTTGGTTTCAATTCCCTCACTCTTGTGTTGGTTTCAACTCCCTCACTCTTGTGTTGGTTTCAACTCCCTCACTCTTGTGTTGGTTTCAACTCCCTCACTCTTGTGTTGGTTACAACTCCCTCACTCTTGTGTTGGTTTCAACTCCCTCACTCTTGTGTTGGTTTCAACTCCCTCACTCTTGTGTTGGTTTCAACTCCCTCACTCTTGTGTTGGTTACAACTCCCTCACTCTTGTGTTGGTTTCAACTCCCTCACTCTTGTGTTGGTTTCAACTCCCTCACTCTTGTGTTGGTTTCAACTCCCTCACTCTTGTGTTGGTTTCAACTCCCTCACTCTTGTGTTGGTTTCAACTCCCTCACTCTTGTGTTTGTTTCAACTCCCTCACTCTTGTGTTGGTTTCAACTCCCTCACTCTTGTGTTTGTTTCAACTCCCTCACTCTTGTGTTGGTTTCAACTCCCTCACTCTTGTGTTGGTTTCAACTCCCTCACTCTTGTGTTGGTTTCAACTCCCTCACTATTGTGTTGGTTTCAACTCCCTCACTCTTGTGTTGGTTTCAATTCCCTCACTCTTGTGTTTGTTTCAACTCCCTCACTCTTGTGATGGTTTCAACTCCCTCACTCTTGTGTTGGTTTCAACTCCCTCACTCTTGTGTTTGTTTCAACTCCCTCACTCTTGTGTTTGTTTCAACTCCATCACTCTTGTGTTGGTTTCAACTCCCTCACTCTTGTGTTGGTTTCAACTCCCTCACTCTTGTGTTGGTTTCATCTACCTCACTCTTGTGTTGGTTTCAACTCCCTCACTCTTGTGTTGGTTTCATCTCCCTCACTATTGTGTTGGTTTCAACTCCCTCACTCTTGTGTTGGTTTCAACTCCCTCACTCTTGTGTTGGTTTCTACTCCCTCACTCTTGTGTTGGTTTCAACTCCCTCACTCTTGTGTTGGTTTCAACTCCCTCACTCTTGTGTTGGTTTCAACTCCCTCACTCTTGGTAGTTGTAGTAGAGGATGTTATCTATTGCAGGCCTTTAGTCCACTTCGTTCTAGCATTAGAAGGGCTCAAATCCTTCACTGAACATCATTTAGGAGATATTTGCTAAGTGAAGCTGAAAGTAGAAGGAGGAAAATTTTGAATGTTGGTTGGTCATTCGAGGGACCCGCTTTGGCACGTTTCTTTACACACATACAAGTTATTGGTAACACTTTTAGCAGACGCTTTTATCCAAAGCGACTTACAGTCATGTGTGCATACATTCTTACGTATATGGGTGGTCCCGGGGATCGAACCCACTACCCTGGCGTTACAAGCGCCGTGCTCTACCAATTGAGCTACAGAGGACACCTAGCATCATAGCACGTTATGACACGGTCACAACCATGTCATAACGTCATAACGGCTGACATAACTTGTCATAACCTGTCGTAATATGGTCATAATACTATCATGGAACATATATTTAGACCTTATTGTGTTATTTTATGGCTGGTTATGACACCTACATAACAGTGTCAAAACCCACAAAACCCACAAAAACCCTACCACACAAGGCAAAACATTCCATTACACCATAGCCTACATGTCAACAGTATTGTTTATGTTATATAACATTTTCTGAAATGGACCGTATTGAATTATCATTGTAATTGCGCACACATTGATGTCAGTCACGCCCCGACCCCATATGCTCCTGATGCTGATGACTGGGATGAACGCAGGAGCAGGTTTCAGGAGCAGGACAACGCACCCTCTTGGCCTATCTGGCTCACACTGTGTATGATTATGATGGTCATAATGCTTCATGGTAGTGTCATAAAGTGTATTTTCTACAATTTATTAAGAATATGATTTTAAAAAACATGACTGTAAAGAATTAATTACAACAACAACAACAACAACAACAAAGGATTTAACTCTAAATCATATTATTTATTCAAATGTGTTTTTTCCCTGCCAAGAGGTTTCCTTTCGTTTGAAAGTTTGTTTCTGCAAGCTCCCTCAAGATCTTCCCCTCCACCCGTGGATGCAGCCTCCCTCAAGATCTTCCCCTCCACCCCTGGATGCAGCCTCCCTCAAGATCTTCCCCTCCACCCGTGGATGCAGCCTCCCTCAAGATCTCCCCTCCACCCCTGGATGCAGCCTCCCTCAAGATCTTCCCCTCCACCCCTGGATGCAGCCTCCCTCAAGATCTTCCCCTCCACCCCTGGATGCAGCCTCCCTCAAGATCTTCCCCTCCACCCCTGGATGCAGCCTCCCTCAAGATCTTCCCCTCCACCCCTGGATGCAGCCTCCCTCAAGATCTTCCCCTCCACCCCTGGATGCAGCCTCCCTCAAGATCTTCCCCTCTTTCACACATTGTCAAATAAAAGCACAGTTTAGAGCTTTAAGGATCAATGAAAGAGTCTTCTAATAAACAACCAAATTAAATACCCACTGGGCCGTACCACGTCATTTCAGCGTGGATAATATTTGATTTAGAAGTTGATAAATGAGATTACATCCTATATTCACCCAATCAAAAAGACAGCCAAAAGTTAGTTGAATTTCCAATGTGTTATCACTTTGCTTTCAACCATCTAAAAGTGCAGCAAAGTTCAAATGGGAAGACAATGTCAGATATTTCGTTTTATTTATACCAACAGCTTAATGTGTTATCACCGTGCTTCATCTAATAGCACAACCAAACGACAGGGATTGCAGTTGAGATGACGTTAAAAGTACACGGTGCAAGTGATCAATGCCGTTCGAGATTCTGACAGATTATTATTACAGCAGTTGAGACCAAAGACCTGCGACGACCTATGACCTCTCTGGAACATGCACACTTTAGAAGATGACAGAAGAAGAAATGTCTTCAGGTAGTTACAGTATCCTCCAAATGATGCCATGGATGTTACTTATTTTAAAGGTTGAACGTTACATTAGTTTGTAAGATAGTCCTAATTTTATGCTATTTACTGTATTAAAAAAAGTAATATTCAAATCAAATCAAATTGTATTTGTCACTTGTGCCGAATACAACAAGGTGTTGACCTTACAGTGAAATGCAAATAGTCCGGGTAGGCATTTGATTAGCTGTTCAGGAGTCTAATGGCTTGGGGGTAGAAGCTGTTGAGAAGCCTTTTGGACCTAGACTTGGCGCTCCGGTACTGCTTGCCGTGCGGTAGCAGAGAGAACAGTCTATGACTAGGGTGGCTGGAGTCTTTGACAATTTTGAGGGCCTTCCTCTGACACCGCCTGGTATAGAGGTCCTGGATGGCAGGAAGCTTGGCCCCAGTGATGTACTGGGCCGTACGCACTACCCTCTGTAGTGCCTTGCGGTCGGAGGCCGAGCAGTTGCCATACCAGGCAGTGATGCAACCAGTCAGGACGCTCTCGATGGTGCAGCTGTATAACCTTTTGAGGATCTGAGGACCCATGCCAAATCTTTTCAGTCTCCTGAGGGGGAATAGGCTTTGTCATGCCTTCTTTACGACTGTCTTGGTGTGTTTGGACCATGATAGTTTGTTGGTGATGTGGACACCAAGGAACTTGAAGATCTCAACCTCCTCCACTACAGCCCCGTCGATGAGAATGGGGGCGTGCTCGGTCCTCTTCTTTTTCTTATAGTCCACAATCATCTCCTTTGTCTTGATCACGTTGAGGG